CCGACAGCACGCAGCCCCGCACTCCCGGGGGGGCCGCTGCCGACGCCAGGAGGAGCTCCCCCCCACGCCAGAACTGCTCCTGCCACCACATAAAGCCTGTTCTCTCTCCCGGAGTGCCCGTTGTCTAGTGGAACCTCAGGGGGGGGGGTCAGCCCCCGCCCCCGCTGCGGGTCTCTGCCTGCCTGGGGCAGGGCAACACAGCAGGGCGCGACTCCGGAGGGGAGAAGCACCGCGTTCGGTTCGGCAGACGGGGCCGGGGGGAGGCCCGCAGGCCGGGGGGTGAGCTGTCAGAGGCTGGCAGCTGAGCCTTCGGGGAGGGAGGGACGCGGCAGGCAGCTGCCTGCAAGGCAGGGCTTGCTTCGCCCAGGCTTGCAGAGGATGGACGGCCGGCAGCAGGCTGCGGTCGCTCCGCAGAGCGTGTGCCGGGGGTTCCTTTATTGGGTTTCTGGTAAAAAAGGCACGTTGGGACACTGTAATGACAGGCAGGGATGTCACAAACTGACCCAGCACACAAAGCTCGGGCGATGGCGTCGCGCTTTTCTTCTGTCGGGGTGGTTTCAGCCGAGGCAGGGCTAGAGCCGGAGGCAGGAGCAGGGGGAACTCTCCTTCCTCCTCCCCCAGGCAGGATCCGGCCCTCCCTCCTGCTCTGCGAAGGGGCGGAGTGGCAGCTCGGTTACGGAGCGCTGCGGGCAGCGGTCCTGCCCGCGGTTCTGGGCGCTGCTAGCACTGCTGCCTGCTGGAGGTTTGCACGGTGAAGAGGCGCTTCAAGAAGCAGAGCTGCAGGACCCCGGAGAGGACAATGACGCAGCTCTGAGCCACCGACCACCAGTTGACGTAGTTGTAGTTGGACTCCAGGAGGAAGGAGTCGGCCCCTTTCCGCATCCGGGCGAAGTTGTAGAACCGCCACATGTGGAAGATGTGGAGCTGCAGCTTCCGGATGCTGACCTGCGGGAGAGGCGGGCGCTCGGCAGCGGGGCCGCGGCAGAGCCTGGGGCCGGCAGAGCCGCTCCGGGAGCTGCCCGCTGGGCTCAGCATTAAATTAAGCTGCAGCTCAACCAACGGCAAACGCCCTTCTCGGTTCCTTTGGGAGGACGTGCCCGTCCCTGCTGCGTTAGAGCACCCTGTGGTCGCCTTGACACTCACCCCGATTGCCTCCAGGGTGTCGTTCAGCTCCTTCCTCTCTTCTGGCTGCTTGTTTTCCATGTTGAAGCCTTCGTAGTAGACACCGAAGTTGAGATACACCTGCATGAAGCCAAAGTGGTTTTGCTGGTTGTCCAGGCACAGCTGGTAGAAACCTGCAGGGAGAATTGGGGATGGTTGTTCCCCGGGTAGAAGAGCCGCTGCCAGGCAGACCCGTCCCCAGCGCTCGACCCTCATCCTCCCCGTTGGGGACAGGCAGGTCAGCGCTCTGGGACGCACTCGCCAGGCTCAGAGCTGCTGGCCGGGAGCTGGCAGCCCCTGGACCCCAGCCTCCCGCCTGCCTGCGGCTGGCTGGTGGGCCGGGCAGGGACAGGGGCAGCGGGGACCTGTCTCCTTGGTGAGGAAGTTGATCTGTCCTCGCACGTGCTGGGAAAGGCCGAGCTGGAAGCCGTTGGGGTCGCTCGCCGTGGCCAGGATGTTCCTGCTGTTGGCGATCCCCGTCGCCCGCTGGACCTGGAGGCAGGAAACACCCGAAGGGGCATTCGTGAGCCTGACTCCGCACCCAGGAAACAGACGGGAGCCCACAGGAGCCCTCGTGCGCAGGGCAGGGACCCAGCGGGGACCTGCCTCTACTGAGGGTTGGTTTGGGGTCCGCAGGGAGCTGCCCCCTCTTCCTCCTCCTCAGAAGAGCTGAGGCCGGCACCCACGTGCGGGGACCCAGCACCCAGCGGGGACCTGCCTCTACTGAGGGTTGGTTTGGGGGGAGCTGCCCCCTCTTCCTCCTCCTCAGAAGAGCTGAGGCCAGGAACAGCCCAGCGAGCTCTGCCAGCTACGTGCAAAAGAAAAAAAAGCCCCAGTGCGCGCCCGCCTGGACCGGGTGCTGCCAGCGCTGCCGGCTGCTGGAGTGTCGGGAGATGGAGCCGTGCCGAGCTCCAGGGCCGTGCCCTGTTCCCGCGGGGCTGCTCTGCCAAGCACAGAGCTGGGGGAAGCTGCCAGCACTGGGCACGGTCGTGCCCCGGCTCTCCTTCAACCAGCCTAGTGTAAACGGGAGATTAAAAGGGCTGCAGTTTCCTCTGTGGAAGGGGACGGAGCGCGGGGACAAGCAGATAGGGCTGTGCCCGAGACCTTCGGCGCGCCTTCCAGCTGCGGCTCAGAAGAGAGCTGAGGGCTGTGCGACAGCCTCCAGCCGGCCTGGCGAAG